GGGTTGATGAAATTATTCTCGAACCAACCCGTATTTATAGCCCAATAAATGTTTTCAAATGATACCTTATTCCTTATTTTTACATTTTTGACTTATTCATACTTTGTATTTGCCCGATTGTGACTTTTAAAGTGTAAAATTAAATGCATATTTTTTTAACCTAGCGACATGTATATAATCCACTGAAGGCAGGTCGACCCTTTTGTGACTTCACTGAGAAATTTCGTCTAACGTTTATCAATACGTATTGCTTTCAGTAGTGTTATATCGAAAAAAAATCATTTGCAAATGTAAATATTTAAAAAATAATAAACATGCATATGTCTATGGATCCGGAGTAGCATCGTTAAGTAAAGTCACGTCAGCCAGAGATGTTTTTGAATGTGAAACGATCGGGAAGCGTTTACTCTCCTTTCTTTGTTATCAAATATACCATGCAGAAATCAATCTGTCTATTTTCGTAAGGAAATCTTTAGAAGAAAAAAATGAAGTTGTGCTGTTGCTACATAAGTGTTTAATTTTTTCATGCATCATATATACAGTATGTTTTAATATCTTGCAGTGCCGATTTATATGCAACTTATATGTAACTAATCCCTTGAGATTTTTTTTTTTACTTTTAGTATTGTTTAAAAGCAGGTTGGCAAGTCTGGAAAAGAATGTAAATAGTGCTAAATAAAATTTTAGGTATATCGGCGCTCCGCCTTTACGTTAAAATCCATTTTGTCGTCTTAATCAGATTTCCTTACTTTTCCTTAATTTTTTTTTTAGATCAGAATTTAAATATACTTGCACAACATGAAGACAAAATAAAATTGAAATATAATATAAATGAATTGGATTCTTTTCATTCCACCGGGGGTTGAACGTTGATGTTACATATTTTCAATATCTGATTTCGCGGCTGCACCGGGTACCACAACCATTGACACATTTATGTACCTTTGAAGAGAGGAAATTTAATTTTTGTAAATTATATCTTGCTTTTATAAATTCTTTATCTTTTTACAAACGTAGTTGCAAAATTTTAACAAAAATACGTTCATAAGAAAGAAAAACATACACACTATCCGAACAGCCCTCGTATAAACGTAATTTTACTTTAATGTAGACAAAGTGAAAAAAAGATTTAAAATATTATCTCCAGAAATGCATCATTGTTATCAAATACTTCTGATCTCACGTAACATTCTGCTTCTGACAATACCTGCTTAAAAACCTGTTTTTCAGTGTAATCTGAAATCTGAACACCCCTTTAAATGAGGTAGGCTGTGGATGAAGAAAACAGGTCAAGTCACTGTTTAAATCCAGGGCAATCAGGAAAAAATATCAAGGTGAATAAAATATGGAGAGAAGACGCCATTGTTCAAAACAAAGACATTATTATCTTTACTTTACTTGCAACCAACGACCTTGATGCTAAATCAGGCAATATTCTGATACTCTTCTATATTTTAGACATGGGTTTTCATATATATAAAGTATTAACGAATTTACCTATCGTAACTACTTCGACTGAATCCTCTTAGAACACAAGTAAGTGTTTAAATTTCCAACCTAAAAGGCGCTTTGTGATGCGTCAGCTTATATATTTAATTGAGATCGATCATCAAATCAATTTATGCTAAACCAACATTTTATTCAGTCCAGGAAAAATCACCTTATCTGGAACAAAAACCCGCGACAAGGAAGGTGGGGAGTGAGGTGATAGAGGGGCGGGGTTAGGTTTCAACTTCCTCCGGTACCAATTCTTTTACTCAAACACTACATTGCCTTATATTACCCTTATTGTAAATACTGCAACCAAAAGTATTTGAGAGAGCAACCAGACTTTTACTTATGTTGAAAAAAAATAGTGATATTGGTGCTACGTTCCTGTTAGCAGACAATAATCGTAAGCATCACTTGTCAATTGTCAGCTGACAACATTGTTGAATCAAGATCCAAGTTTTGAGTTATTCAATTAGTACAACTATAAGAGTTAGCCTTGTCAAACTGCATTATTTATATTACAATAAACCAATGCATTATTACCTACTTTTATTTAGAAATCATGATTCAAAGTTATTTTGATATACACGAGGATGCACTGTGTACAAAGAAGCTTTAAATCGAGGCAAACTATATTGACACGCAGGTGGTATAAAACAAGAATACTAAGAGTCTTGAATGAAAACAACCTTTCGTTAGTTGTATGGTCGATTTATGCCTTTTTACATTTTCATTGAAAATTAATATAGGTCATTCAATAGAATGCTTAATTACTAACTTTTTCATACGAAGTACTAGGCCATTATAAACACACTGAATTGTTTACCATTTTCCCTTGCTACCAAATCATGACAACGTGAGTGACCTGGCGACAGGAGATCCTTACTCCACTATGACACCTGATCCCATCTTTGATGCTTATAGAGATCTGTGTTTGCTTAACTTTCAGTTTGTATTGGTTAAATATACAATTACACTGTATATGTACTTTTGAGCTTGATATTGTTCGAAATATTTCCATATTTAATAAAGCACCGCATAGAGCGATTGTTAAGGATATTCCAACCTCAGCCAGTAAGGATAACTTTACAAATTGAAATTCAATTTGAAAAGTCTCAAAAGAAAGCTTGAATTTAAAATATTTCAAGCAACATTTTTCATTTTATGCTCCATAAGGTGTTTCAATGGTCTTTGAAGTTCTTAGGAACAATATTATATAAAGTTAATAATTGCTTAAGATATAGGTATTTGGAAAATTAAATATTTAAAGAAAGTTAATTTTCTTTTATATACCCTATATACAAGCATCAAAATTAATTAGCATTAAACGATATTAAATTGATATAAAGTGATGACTTTGCAGGAATATAGGAAAGGTTATATACATGTACACTATACATTACAATATGGCCGAAGTATATATACGATAATAAAGCACCGCATACGTTTAATAATCATGTAATTTTCTTAAACATTTACGAATGTCTTGAAAATCATTTGAGATTTACCCTTTTCCATATAATAGTGAACTTTTGTGATGATGTCCTTAAGGCAAGGATGCACTTTAATTAAAAATTGGATGAAGAAATAAATGAGAAATACAGGGACAAAAATAAAGACATAACTTTTTCTGACTTCCATACAAAGGAAAATAATTAAATGTATGTGTCAAATGACGGAGATTTTATCGTCTTTATCATTTTTAGGTAACTTAGTCAAATGAAATTCGCTGAACCTGGTAAATTGTAGACGCATCTTAAATTCTTTCACATATATATAGTTTTCACAACTGAGTGACTTTATAAGAATGAACTACAGATTTAATTACAATTTTTTATAGGGTGTTTTATGAATAGTGTGGCACAGATATTTATAATTCGCTGCATTTATATAATTGAAGACATCAGTAATGATATCCAGAGATTGCATATACATGTTGGTGCGGATTCAATTTTTTTCCCTTGAAAATGGGAGAGTGGGTCCTCAAAAAAGGGAATTCTACCAAAACAGGCAAATAAAAAAATGTAAGCGCCATCTCCTTTCCCAAATTTGAAAAAGAAGGTAGGCTAGCTGACGTTGAACTGCTAAACTTTTTAATGAATGATTCATTTTTTCTTCACGGGTGGAGGGGGGCATATTTAATTATTTTGTACTTAAAAGTAATTTCTATAACTAAGAAGCTGTTGACAAACTTCCATTATTTATGTATCAATATACTTTATACATGTACATATACCTGTATTAAGAATTTATGTGTGCCAGTTGATACAATACACACGAAGATGCTCTACATGCGAGAATTTTCTAAAGAAAACAAGCTTTTGATTTACATGTAAATCAAACAAGAATCTCAAGAGTCAGATTTTTTTTTTTCTAATTCAACCTTTGCACATTTTATATGGTCGACACACTAAATTTGTTCTAAATTATAATATAAACTGTATGATATTAGTCCACTGATTACAGATGTTTTTCGTACTAATTGTTAGACTATTTTGTCCCCTCTGAAAGTGGTGGATATTAATTTCAGTCTGTCTGTCGGGTCCGTCTGTATGTAGTTTTGTCTGTAACGATTTCAATTCAATTTGATATATGGAGAAGCATTTAAACTTTAGCTAAATTCCTTATGGTGAAGAAGGATTAATATTCCTATCTACGTTGAGGTCAAAAAGTCATAGGTCAAGGTTAGAAATGAAATAAATTCTGTATATGTTTACACTTACGTTTCCGCACGATATTCTAAGAATCCTTTGAGCATTTGCAATCATTTTGGCATTCTATACCATAACTCTCTATGGGCTACGAAGACTCCTAGTATCTGTTTTGACGTCAAAAGTCAAAGGACAAGGCCTTCATTCTACATTCCTACATCCTGCGTGTGTAACACTTTCATTTCGTGGCGATATTTCAAGAAGTTTTGTGCGTTTTTGCAATTAAATTTATACCATACATGTATCTCACTATGGCTCCTCCAGCCCTTCTAAAAATACTCCACCCTCCTCAACCCTCAGGTCAGTACATTCCCTTCTTGTTTTGTCCAATGAGAGTGAATTAGCTTGTTTACACACTGAATTATCTACGGATTAATACAAAATGGATGTGACCTAGCGGCAGGGGAAACTTACTCTCCCATGGCACACCTGATGGCATCTGATGGCACCCGTACCTAACATGTATTAGTAGGTACTAGCACGAAAAAAACCCTTCCCTGCTTAATTTTCATCTATTTGACCGATAACAATACTTTTCAGAAAGCTCTGTCATATTTACTTACAAGCCTATTTAACTGTTTAACTTTGGTCGTCATGTTTGCTCCTAAAGGGGGAGGAGGACTTTTATAACTTTTATTTTCATTTTAAACAAGACCAACCAGGGTGAATTATAATTGACCCAATGATATTGATCTTAACGTTTTGTGCATTTTTACATATTTTATTTTAACTGTTCTAAAAAAATTTTTTACATACAATCATCGAATCGAATCAAATATTAATTTCATATATAACCAGATATGGACTACCTTGGTTTCGGATATGTTGTGGGATCGTGTCCTGTTAACCTAACGGGACAGAATGAAGCAGCTTCCAAACTCAAGTGTAGCGTGGACAAATTCGGGAATGGTCAGTACCTCTGTGTTCCTAACTTCAAGAAGACAACCATTGTTGAGTACTGCTACAACGGCACTGTGGGACTCCAAATGCCAGGTTTGCGTAGTATATTTAAGCAATTTATCATTTTTTGTGAAAGATAAAGTTTCATAACTGCAAGAGTGTGTACAAACACGCATTACTCAATTTGTTTGTACATGTATACATGTAACCTTGCAGTTTTGAGACTATATCTTTTTTCAAAATAATAATTTATTGCTTGTATACATTTTTAATTCTCTGCCATGAGTGCAAATGTGATTCATTTTTTAAAACCCATGTATTATCCTTCGTGTAAGCTACAATTAATGAAAGAGCCAATGTAAGCCTCTGGTAAATTATAGATTGATTGTTGATTTTTGCAAATGAAGTTTTACTTAAACAGAATAAAACGCATGCTTTAATTTTTTAAACCCTTTATGTGTTTAAGTGTTTTGAAAACAATTTATTTTCATACACTTTATATGCAAAAAAACTTGTGTAATGAAATTTAAAGCCTTGTAATACAGTGTACGGTATTCAAGCAAATGTCATTAAATATCTACTAAGAACAAGAATATAAATATAATTGTACATTTTTAAAATGTTGAAATGCATGTAGAAACTTATTTGAATTAACATACATTTATATACGATTGAAAAAAAAATCAAATATCAACATATATTGTACTGGAATGGTTTTCTTAGTTTGTATGGGGAAATTACGGAAGCGTATTAGTGCCACTTGCACACTTCACTTTTTTTTATTTTGTACACATTTAAAGTGTAAATTTTACACTTAAATCTGTAAATTTTACACTTAAATCTGTAAAATTTACACTTTAATCTGTAAAATTTACACTTTAATCTGTAAATTTTACACTTTAATCTGTAAATTTTACACTTTAAAGTGTAAATTTTACACTTTAAAGTGTAAATTTTACACTTTAAAGTGTAAATTTTACACTTTAATCTGTAAAATTTACACTTTAATCTGTTAAATTTACACTTTAATCTGTAAAATTTACACTTTAATCTGAATTTACACTTTAATCTGTAAATTTTACACTTTATTTTTAATTACCTAAACTGTTATCAGTTATGATCAAACGGTCGATTTGTGATGTTTTACCTCGGACACATGAGAAAAGTATTAAACTTTGATGTTTACAATTGTTTGTTAGTAAACTCAGGTGACCTATTGCTATCCGCTTTCGTCCGTCATCGTGCGTCGTGTGTTAACATTTGAACATTTTCAGCTTCTTCTCTGCAACCACTGAACCAATTTCAGCCAAATTTGGCACAAAGCACCTATGGGTGAAGGGGAACAAAAATTGTGAATTTCATGATCCCTGCCCCCCTGGGGCCTGAGGGATGGGGCCAAAACCACTAAAAATAATGCAATCTTTAAAAATCTTCTTCTTTACTACTGGACATCAAGCAGTCAAACTATTTGCATGATTGTAATCAGCATTGAGTCTTCTACCAAAATTGTGAAATTCATGGCCCTGGGGTCAGGGGTTCTAGTGCTAGGGCGGGGCTAAATAAGTATACAGTGAAAATGCATTATTTCTTTGAAAATCTTCTTCTCTGCTCCAGGGTATTAGATCAACCAACTAAGTACATAGTTATGATGAGCAAGAGTGCCTCTACCAAAATTGTGAATTTTATGGCCCCAGGGACAAGGGTTCTGGTGTTGGGGGGGGGGGGCTCTATTGATTATATAGTGAAAATACATGAATTCTTTGAAAATCTTCTCCTCTGCTCCTAGGTATTAAATAAACTAACTAAGCGCATAGTTATGAGGAGCAAGAATGCCTCTACCAAAATTGTGAATTTTATGGCCCCAGGGTCAAGGGTTCTGGTGTTGGGGGGGGGGTCTCTATTGATTATATAGTGAAAAATACATGAATTCTTTGAAAATCTTCTTCTGTGCCCCTTGGTATTAAATAAACTTACTAAGTACATAGTTATGATAAGCAAGAGTGCCTCTACCAAAATTGTGAATTTTATGGCCCCCCAGGGTCAAGGGTTCTGGTGTTGAGGAGGGGGGGGGCTCTATTGATTATATAGTGAAAATACATGAATTCTTTGAAAATCTTCTTCTCTGCTCCTTGGTATCAAATAAACTAACTAAGTGCATAGTTATGATGAGCAAGAGTGCCTCTACCAAAAGTGTGAATTTTATGGCCCCAGTGTCAAGGGTTCTGGTGTTCGGGTGGGCTCTATTGATTATATAGTGAAAATACATGAATTCTTTGAAAATCTTCTTCTCTGCCCCTAGGTATTAAATAAACTAAGTGCATAGTTATGACGAGAAAGAGTGCCTCTTCCAAAATTTTGAATTTTATGGCTCCGGCCCAGGTTCAAGGGTTCTGGTGTTGGGGGGGGGGGGGCTCTATTGATTATATGGTGAAAATACATGAATTCTTTGAAAATCTCCTTCTCTGCTCCTAGGTATTAAATAAACTTACTAAGTGCAAAGTAATGATAAGCAAGAGTGCCTCAACAAAAATTGTGAATTTTATGGTCCCAGGGTCAAGGGTTCTGGTGTTAGGCCAGGGTTCTATTGATTATATAGTGAAAATTCATTAAATTTTCTTCTCTGTGACTCTGGGTATGAAGTAGATGAATAACTTATATAGTTATGATGTGCAAGGGCCCTAATCTTGCAGAAATGTGTATTTTAAGGCACCAGGGTCGGGGGGGGGGGGGCTCTGCTTACTATACTGAAAATGAATTTATTGTTTGAAATCTGCTCCTTTGTATTTATAAAACATTTATTTATTTTTTTGATAGACAATTCTAAGGGTGCCTTTTAAAAATTTGTGCAATGTTTGGACCTAGGGTCGGGGGTTTATGTCACTATGTTAGGGGCACTACTGATTATTGCTGAATATTACTGATTACTTGGAGTGCATTTTTGTTCCCCTACCCTGTGTATGGGTATTCAGTTACCAAGCTAAGCAACTGTTAAGTGTATTGTTATGATGATCAATGGTGCCTCTTTCAAAATTGTGAATGCCATATAGCATCTGGCTTAAAACATGAATCAAATTCAATACACTGTAACTGGAAAGTTGTTGCATAATGCTCAGGTGACCTATAAAGCCTGTGGGCCTCTTGTTTTATTTTACATGTACTCGTACATGTTTATTGGTACATGAACAGTGTAATTTACCGTAAAAATAAATATCTCAAAAATTTTTCTTATTTGCAGTTAAGTTTGATATTACAAGTATATGGTTCTATGGTCATTATGAAAATTACGGTCATTTTTTTAACGAAGCATCAAAGAAAAGTCATTGAAGCAAAATATATAAAATTCATTGCTGTTCCAAATTATAAACATAATATAAACATACTTTGATATCAATATCACATTCATGTAGAACATGTACATGTTTGCATATGTTTGATATACTCTTCATTTATATTCTAAGAAAAGTTCCTCTTGTATCAGTAATACTAATTTGCTTATCATTTGCATTTATTGTAAAATAGAAAATCAGAATTAAATATTATCTTGCAATATTAACGGTCTGTTGGCTGTAAAATGCGTAACTAAGGATGTATAAATATGCTTATTTGACTACGTAATTAAACAAATAAAGTGTAAAATTTACACTTTAATGTGTAAAATTTACAGATTAAAGTGTAGAATTTACAGATTAAAGTGTTAAATTTACATTTTAAAGTGTAAAATTTACAGATTAAAGTGTAAAATTTACACTTTAAAGTGTAAAATTTACACTTTAAAGTGTAAAATTTACACTTCAAAGTTTAAAATTTACACTTTAATGTATAAAATGTACAGATTAAAGTGTAAATTTTACAGATTAAAGTGTAAAATTTACAGATTAAAGTGTAAAATTTACACTTTAAAGTGTAAAATTTACAGATTAAAGTGTAAAATTTACACTTTAAAGTGTAAAATTTACAGATAAAAGTGTAAAATTTACAGATTAAAGTGTAGAAATAAAAAAAAAGTGAAGTGTCAAAGTGGCACTAATACGCTTCCGTAGGAAATATAATGTTTTGTTGTATTAATTATATGAAAAAGGAGTTGGATGCTTTGAGTGTAACATACATTTATATACGATTGAAAAAAAAATCAAATATCAACAAATATTATACTGGAATGGTTTTCTTATTTTGTAAATTCTTATTTTGTATGGGGAAATATAATGTTTTGTTATATTAATTATATGAAAAAGGAGTTTGATGCTTTGAGTGTAACCTTGCAGGAACTACCTTACAGTCAGAGGATATAATTGAGATGCATGTGTAGTAATATTTCTTATTATATAGATAATAAATAGTCTCTAATAAAATACTACCAAATATCTAAAGAATTATAGCGTTCAATATCTTGACGTTTTATTGAAAGTTGACTTTGTATTACGTATACGAGTATGTCCGAAACATTCCGAATACGAGCGTGCAATATCGAACGCCCCGTTGTTAACGAAAAAAGTCGTCTGGTCAAATTCTCAGAGCTAAATTAGCGAAATGAAATGGCATCTAGAGTATTTTCACACAAAATGAAATTATTTATAATAAAAATTAAGTACGTATTTGACAAATTTAAACCTTATTAAGCAAATCAAATTGTTAGGTAGGGTCGTCGGAATGATGCGATATTGAAGGCTTACTCGACAGACGTTCATTTGAATACCGATATTTAAAAACAAATCATTAATTTGCCTAATTTTAGTTGAAATAATAATTATAAATTATGTGGAAATGTTTATGCTATACATGTATAATAAAGGAGATATTGAACTTATATTGGTGAATATTGGTACTCGTTGGCTGTTCAAATGCACTCGCAAGCTTGTGCATTTGAACAAACAACTCGTGCCACGGTGCCAATGTTCACCAATATAAGTTCAGTAACCCTATGATACACTTGTTACAGGTATTTGCTTAAAGGTAACTGTTTAATTTATTTCATGAAATAAAATTCAAATATATAAAATGTTTTATTATTATTGAAAACATGCGATGTACGAGGGTCATTCAAAAAGTTCGAACAAATTTAAATAATTTGAGTAAAAAAATGGAATATATCTTCATATTTATTAAAATTATCATAGATTTAGAACAGCAAAATCGGGGTCACGGAGCAAGTCAAAATTGAGTAATTTACTGATTTTCTCTTTATAGTATTTATAGCAATAACAATGAATAACAATAATCAATTCTCAAAACTTTCCTGATTTAAAACTTTGTGAAAAATACCTGACTGAAAAGTGTTTACAATACTCAAAGTTTCTAAAATGATTACCGAAATAACTTACAAATAATATGCTTTACACCACAAAAGTTTCCTATAAAAAAAACTTACATAGTAGTAGGCCACAAATCAAAAGAAGGTAGTAGGAAGAACCAAAAATACGTATGTACTTCTTTACGGATGGAAATCAAATGGCTGAACAAAGAATCTGGGTGGATTAGGCAAGTCATATGCCCACACTGATTTGGTCGCTCTGTAAGCATATCGGAAATTTCATAATTGTACGATACAATTTACCTAAACATTTAAACTTTGTACAGTACTCTTCAAATGACAGTATCTAAATTTTTTTAACCTTGCGGTCATCGTAACAGTAATTTTTAAAGTAATGCTTTTCATACTGCTTTTCATACTGCGTGTTAATTTCACTTTCAAATATGTTTTCAGGGGTTGGGAGATGGTATACTCTACCCTTTCTTTTGTTTTTGCATACAGAATAGCCATATCGCGCAGGTCTACCCATGATTATTTACATTTCAATTGTGTTATGTCGGCTTGAATTGAATGCATTCAAAATATTATAATTATGCAAATGCATCTTGAAGACTATATTTATTATAGGAAATATATAAATTGACCATAAATAAATTCATCATCCTATCTTTTCATTTAGTTTTTAGTGAAAAAATATTTTTATCTAAATTTCAACATGAACTTTAAAAATCGTGATTCGAACACTCGCGACAAATAACTAGGTGCGTCAACACCGCCGCTATGACTACTGAGCCACGAAGGCGCATATACAATGCCCTTTGAATAGTAAACAGTTCTATATATATTTAAAACATTAGTATGACATCATCTTTTGTTCTTTTCATGCATTCTATTTCTTGCAAGACCCAAAACAGTCCAATACGTTACCTGAAACTGTCCAATAAGTTTTATCTGTCCATTATTAAAAATAATGGACAGTTTTCAATAACGTATTGGATGGCTACAGGTAACTTACTAGATTAAGAAAACACAACACAAATAAACACAAATAAATATTTTTCAGGCAATGAATCCAACAGTTTCACATGTACAGTGTAATTAAATAATCCATTCAAAGTCACAAAAACTGAAACTTTGTAATTATTCCAATAGATGATGAAATGTATATTCCAGCTAACAATGAACATCAAAAGTTAAATTTGAAGGAAATATCTCGATCTGAATTATATTGGAATGTAATTTGCACCAACAACACACGCGATGATATCACTTCTCCTGGCAAGAAACAGTCGCTCCTTTAATTCTTATTCTCACTGGTACTTTGAATAATTTTGATCATTTTTCAACTGGAGCACGTCCATCGTTTTTTCTACTACAGGAATGCAAGGGTGTTTTGTCTATAGCCTTGTCTACTCATCTCCCGATCTTTTTCTGATTTCTGCGAAAAGAAAGTTATAATTTTGTTAATTTCTTTATCACTCAACACCTTAACGTTCATCAACGTTAGGTACCGTGTAACATTCTCTCTGTCAGTTAAAAAACACAATAAGTACCAGTTTTACATTTCTACTCTGATTATCCTCTTCTAAATCATCTGCACATTGTTGATTAAATTACGGAAACCTTTCTACGTTCCCTTTGTTTTCCTGCATCCTTGAATACAAGTTTCTTTTGACTGTCATACAACCTTCATCTGAGACAGTCCAATAAGTAGACAATGCTAACTTAATACAATGGATGAGAAAAAGTTCTACAATAGGGTAAATGTTTTAAGTAGGTTATAGGCCTCAAACTGTCCATTCTGTGAGAAAAAAAAAGAACTATTGTCGGGCCTAACGGCCCTCCAACAGTTCTTTCTTCTCACAGAATGGACAGTTTTTGGCCTACAACCTTTACATAGCGAACGCACAATTAATTGGATTAGGAGTTTTTGAGAATGTTCCGAATTTTAAGTAGGTAAACTAACTTTTTTATATACAGTGGGTTTTCGTACCATTTTTTTGAAAATGGTGAGAGATACATCCTTCCAAACCCTTTCAATATTTGTTTACATAAAAGTGGTACGGAGACCAACTCTATATAAAAAACACAGTTTTAATATTCAATTTCTATCATTTTTATGATTTCTAAAGCGTGTTACCATTTTGGTGGGTCAATTACAATCAATTTGTAAGTCAATTGATTCAGGTTTTATCTTTACTGTATGCAAATGGTTATAAATAACTCCCAAATTTTACAAAAAAGTTGAATTTGCAAGAATTTTTTAATCAATATTTTACCTGCCCTTGCGTAGGCATATGACTCGCCTTATCCACCCAGATTCTTTGCACGGGAAAATGAGGGATGTAACTCTATACACAAAAGAGTTCTACTCAAGGAAGATAATTCACAAAATTGATAAAGAACGATAACTCTATATGATTTACATAGTTCACTGCATATTACAAATAAAAAATAAGAACTGTGACAGCACAAGTCTTGTATTTGTATAAAGTGAAAAATACAATTTTCTGAGTGGTAGCGATTTGAATCGGACGATGAATTGTGTGCAAAGAAAGAGTTATAATTTAAAAGAGTAAGGAACGTCATTAAATGTGATTTGCGCTTCATTGCAGAATTAATAGAGTAACTCTGTAAAGAATTTGAAAACATCGACAGTCTAGTTAATTCAAGCTATTTAGCAAACTAGGTGTTGAGTGTAAACTGTAATACTTAGCAAACTAGGTGTTAAGTGTGATGGATACGTTTTTTTAGGAGAAGATGCTACACACCGTGTATGAAATTAGAAAAGCAGAGTAATTTTGAGATACTTTCTCGACGTTGTTTTTGACGTTCAATGTTGGTTAAGCGTGCTTCGTGGAAGTAAAACATGTTGCTTTAATTTAAAAGTGGGCTAAAACGAGTTCTATTTAATCAAATACAATAAAACTTTTCACTTCGACGTAATAAATATTTTATTTACGAAAATGTGTTAATTTATATGTAAAATCTTGTCATGATTATGTGACGATTCAAAATTTTTTTTGAATGACCCTCGTATATGTTTATTATTTACAGATATAGAAATTAAAAGCAATATTTCATTTTTTTCTTATACAGTCTTTATCTTTGTTAAAACAGGTTCCTGTTTGGTTGTAAATGATGAAGGAATTGTAGATGACGTCAGTTGTCGTAACTTCACAGAGGGCTGTACAACAACACACTTCAAGAGTTTTGATCTCTATAAGTGTGGGTACATTTTAAAGATAAATGAACGTGTACTGTTATTTAATGTTCTTACAAGAAAATTTAGGGGGTCTTTATTCCCCTCTAAAGGAAGGAAGAAGACACATTAATACGTGGATCTAAGGATTGTTACTTCAAGAAAGACAGACGGGCTGTAGGGTGTCATGGTATTAATACTGAATGCAAAAATTCAAAAGTGTTTTTGAAATAATGCCACGAAGCGTACGTTTTACACAATGTCAGAAGATATATATTAACGAACTTGATCTTTGAACCTTTGGCCTCCAAATTAATAGGGGTCTTTCATACGCCATAAAAAAGTTAAAGGCTTCTTGAGACATCGCGTGGAAACAAAAGTGTGAAAACAATTTTTGGATTTTTGACCTTGTCCTCTTGACTTCACCATCCAAAGAAATTTTTATAAGCCAAAGGGTGTTGTGAAAAATTTCACTTTCGCGTCTCAAGATATCGCGTGAAAACAAAAGTGTTACAGACAGACAGACATAATCGCAGACAGAAGAAAAACTAGACGGACGGACGGACGGACAGACTAAAATTTATATCCCCAACTTTCAGCGGGAGACAATTATGTCCATTCTGTTAATTTCCTTTCATTCATTAGAGTATCTTCACTTGCACATTGTGATGATTCTGATTCATGTTTACTCTATTTATATGTATATTTGTATATCTAAATAGATCCAGCATGTCATCAAATTAGCAGAAAAGACCGATGTTTTTATGCGGATCCAAAATGTCCCAAGACGTAAGAAGAACGAAAGAGAGCTTAAAAATCTTATATCAACCATTTGAAATAGTACATGATAATAAAACAGATCTCTCTATTAACGAAAGTTTTTTTAATAGAGATACAGAGATGACAACAAGAAACAGTACACTTGTGGCAACCAATGCAACAATGAACGACACTGCTACTACACTTGATTTTTCAAATACAACCGTAATAACAGAAACTGGTCAAATTCCTGCAGGAGCATTAGCAGCTTTTACTATAGCATTATTTACGACACTTGCTATCCTTCTCTTTATATACATGATATACTTGTATAAGAAAAGAAAAGGAAAGCCACCAGTCACAAACACAGGTTTGTACATGTACATGTACATACATGTTGATGTTGAATTACAATTGCAATTAATCTCGTCTATTTTTCTCAGTTTTCTACATTTATCATTATATTTGTAATCTGACAATGTAAATTAATTGATCGTTCAGACATCATGTTACTGACAGTGCAGAATCATTCTAGCAATGCAAGGATTCCTTAATCAGCGCGTTGCAGTTGAAACCTTAGCATATTTCATTTTGATATTTTAGAGCTTGCTTCTCCCATTAAGAGACACAATTAAGGCTTTCATAAACATGTAGATAATATTAACAAAATACATTCATTTGACACCTAAAATGCACTTGTTACGGCAATATATTGCTCAGGAACCCTAGCAATTCAAGGAGTATGCAGAATAAATTAGTATGACATCCTGTTTCAAAAAATATCTCTAATATATAATGTATAAAGCAAGTTTTATGTTTGTTAACTGTTCCTGACCCGATGAATTTGATTCTTAGTAAACATAGTGTTTGTGTTATGATCATGAATAGAAGAAGAGCTTTGTAGCAACCTCTAATGATACAACACCGCTTAATGATAAAAATATCATTAAGCGTTGCAATGCAACGCTTATTGTCATAAATTATCGCATTAATGGTTGACATTCCAAACTGCTAATGCTAAATCGCCGCTTAATGAAAGAATTATATCACTAAGCGATTGAGAAAGACAACTATTAATGCAATAATTTATAACATTAAGCGTTGAATTGCAACGCTTAATGATATTTCTATCATTAAGCGGCGTTGTATCATTAGGGGTTGCTACAGAGCTTACTTAAGGATATCCGATCGTCAGTCAGAAAGGATAACTTCACAAATTAATATTCAATCTAGAATGCATCAAAATGAAGCTTAAAAATGAATTTTTTTCATGCAACAATTTTCATTTTATTCATCATTATTAGATTCAAGATTTTAAGAAATCTTCGAAAAGGTCTTATAAAAATTGACATCAAAGTTTGCATAAGTTCTGGTCTTATTCTTAAGTACGGAGGAATTGGATCTTCAGTACATTTCGTACATATACGTTGATGCGTAGAATTATTAAGACTATTTTTTAAGACAGACGGTGTTTGGTATTGATTGGATTTTTATTCCAAAATTAAGGGATACATGGACACATGTTTGTCCTTTTTCTAATATCCTGGTAGAGAAAAATAACATTTTTAATCAGAAAAAAGTTACATATTATGTCAGCATTAGCGTAGATGTACATGTACTAGTATTTAAGTTGTGCTCAAGTAGACCACTACAACTTTTTTCAGATAAAGAAAGTGTTCCTTTGGTAATTGTGAGGGAAGATTACTCCAAAGGTAATTGAAATATTCTTTAATTTACTTACTGTAAAAGAAATGCCAGATACACTGTACTAGTAGTCATTTCTCTTTTAAACAAGAGAGGCTGGAGGTATTATCTTTAATCTACAAATGTATCTCTAAATTAGATGTATAGATAAAATAAAAATTGATATTTCAAAGAAATTTTGCAGAATCGACCTTTGACCTGTAAAAGTGATTATAGTCCTACACAGGACTGTTTTTAGATTGAATTTGAAGATTGACCCGTGTAGACAGTACTGCATCCAAACACTTTTTTGAGTTTTCACTTGAGAGAACATCAAACAGGCTGAATTATGATTGATTGGTTGATTGTATATTGTTTCACGTCCCTCTTGAGAATCTCGAGAATTTTTCACTCATATGGAGAGGTCACCGTATGTCGATGAAGGGCTTCAAATTTTGACTTTCACTCGGCACGCAGGATCATTGAGCAGTGATGGATATTTATCGTGCCAACACCTGCTGCTGACACGGGACCTCGGTTTTTAAGGTCTCATTCGAAGGACCCGCAACTTTCACTTCAAAGTGCCGAGCATATGGCGAAGGAACAGTTGCTGCCAATTTTAACGACTATGTCAGTCGCGGCCGAGATACGAATTCACGACATCTCGATCACAGAGCGAGCGCTCTACCGACTGAATTACCGTGAACGGTAGGCTGAATTATGACATTTGACCCCAAGATCTTGATCTTAACGTTGGGTGACTTTAATATAATTATAAATCTTTGCTGTAACTTCCTTTTTTTTTCTACTTGTCCGAGATAAGCTTACGCGATGGTAAAGTATACGTCGTCCGTCTTTTTGTCTTTCTGTCTGCCTGTAAACAATTTTAAAAATGATTATCCTTTTACAGTTTTGGCCTGATTACAATAAAACTTAGCACACAAGTGGACTACACCAAGATACTTAATTCTGTGAATCAGTTTTTGATATCGCTGAACGGTGTTGCTATGGTTTCAAAAATAGAAACTTCTGTGAAATACTATAAAATCGCTACTCTTTCTCCGGATTTTAATGTAACTTGGCTCACGAGTAAACTATGCTTTTAACTTAAAAGTCTAGAATACATAATTTTCTGTATCGGTTGATATTTAGATGAATGGTGTTGCTAGGTTGCTAAAAATAAAAATTTCGATG